TATTTTGTTGATCTTTTCAAAAAACCAGCTCTTGGATTTATTGATTTTTTGAAGGGTTTTTCGTGTCTCAGTCTCCTTTAGTTCAGCTCTGATCTTAGTTATTTCTTGTCTTCTGCTGGGTTTTGAGTTTTTTTGATCTTGCTCCTCTAGCTCTTTCAATTTTGATGATAGGGTGTCAATTTTGGATCTCTCCATTCTCCTCATATGGGCACTTATTGCTATATACTTTCCTCTAGAGACTGCTTTAAATGTGTCCCAGAGGTTCTGGCACGTTGTGTCTTCGTTCTCATTGGTTTCGAAGAACTTCTTTATTTCTGTCTTCATTTCATTGTTTACCCAGTCAACATTCAAGAGCCAGTTGTTCAGTTTCCATGAAGCTGTGCGGTTCTGGGTTGGTTTCTGTATTCTGAGTTCTAACTTGATTGCACTATGGTCTGAGAGGCTGTTTGTTATGATTTCAGTTGTTTTGCATTTGTTGAGCAGTGCTTTACTTCCAATTATGTGGTCAATTTTTGAGTAGGTGTGATGTGGTGCTGAGAAGAATGTATATTCTGTGGATTTGGAGTGGAGAGTTCTGTAAATGTCTATCAGGTTTGCTTGCTCCAGGTCTGAGTTCAAGCCCTGGATATCCTTGTTGATTTTCTGTCTGGTTGATCTGTCTAATATTGACAGTGGAGTGTTAAAGTCTCCCACTATTATTGTATGGGAGTCTAAGTCTCTTTGTAAGTCATTAAGAACCTGCCTTATGTATCTGGGTGCTCCTGTATTGGGTCCATATATGTTTAGGATCGTTAGCTCTTCTTGTTTTATCGATCCTTTTACCATTATGTAATGGTCTTTTTTGTCTCTTTTGATCTTTGTTGCTTTAAAGTCTATTTTATCAGAGATGAGAATTGCAACTCCTGCTTTTTGTTGCTCTCCATTTGCTTGGCAAATCTTCCTCCATCCCTTTATTTTGAGCCTTTGTGTATCCTTGCATGTGAGACAGGTTTCCTGGATATAGCACACTGATGGGTTTTGGATTTTTATCCAATTTGCCAGTCTGTGTCTTTTGATTGGTGCATTTAGTCCATTTACATTTAGGGTTAATATTGTTATGTGTGAATTTGATACTGCCATTTTGATGCTAAGTGGCTGTTTTGCCTGTTAGTTGTTGTAGATTCTTCATTATGTTGATGCTCTTTAGCATTTAGTGTGATTTTGGAATGGCTGGTACTGGTTGTTCCTTTCTATGTGTAGTGCCTCTTTTAGGAGCTCTTGTAAAGCAGGCTGGTGGTGACAAAATCTCTGAGTACTTGCTTGTTCGCAAAGGATTTTATTTTTCCTTCACTTCTGAAGCTCAGTTTGGCTGGATATGAAATTCTGGGTTGAAAGTTCTTTTCTTTAAGGATGTTGAATATTGGACCCCACTCTCTTCTGGCTTGTAGTGTTTCTGCCGAGAGATCTTCTGTGAGTCTGATGGGCTTCCCTTTGTGGGTAACTCGACCTTTCTCTCTGGCTGCCTTTAGTATTTTCTCCTTTATTTCAACCTTGTTGAATCTGACGATTATGTGCCTTGGGGTTGCTCTTCTTGCAGAATATCTTTGTGGTGTTCTCTGTATTTCCTGCATTTGAGTGTTGGCCTGTCTTGCTAGGTGCGGGAAGTTTTCCTGGATGATGTCCTGAAGAGTATTTTCCAGCTTGGATTCATTCTCTTCGTCCCCTTCTGGTACACCTATCAAACGTAGGTTAGGTCTTTTCACATAGTCCCACATTTCTTGGAGACTTTGTTCATTCCTTTTTGTGCTTTTTTCTCTAATCATGGTTTCTCGTTTAATTTCATTGAGTTGGTCTTCGACTTCAGATATTCTTTCTTCTGCTTGGTCGATTCGGCTATTGAAACTTGTGCATGCTTTGCGAAGTTCTTGTATTGTGTTTTTCAGCTCCTTTAATTCATTCATATTCCTCTCTAAGTTATCCATTCTTGTTATCATTTCCTCATATCTGTTTTCAAGTTCCTTAGTTTCTTTGCATTGATTTAATACATGTTCTTTTAGCTCACAAAAGTTTCTCATTATCCACCTTCTGAAGTCTAATTCCGTCATTTCGTCACAGTCATTCTCCGTCCAGCTTTGTTCCCTTGCTGTTGAGGAGTTTTGGTCCTTTCTAGGAGGCGAGGTGTTCTGGTTTCGGGTGTTTTCCTCCTTTTTTCACTGGTTTCTTCCCATCTTTGTGGGTTTATCCGCTTGTCGTCTGCGTAGTTGCTTACTTTTCGATTGGGTCTCTGAGTGGACACCCAGATTGTTGATGGTGATGTATTTCTGTTACTTGGTTTTCCTTCTACCAACCTAGCCCCTTCGCTGTATGACTGCTGAGGTCCACTCCAGGCCCTGCTTGTCTGGGGTGCACCTCTAGCAGCTGTGGCACGGTGAGGGATGCTACCCGTTTCTTTTTCTGCTATCTTTGTCCCAGGATGATGCCTGCCAAATGTCAGTCTTTTGGATATAGAGGGGTCAGGGAGCTGCTTGAGGAGACAGTCTGTACTTTTTAGGAGCTCAGTTTCTGAGCTGTGAGTTCTGTTGTTCATTCAGGGCTGTTAGGCTGCTATGTTTGATTCTGCTGCAACAGAGCTCATTAAAAAAACCTTTTTTTTTTTCTCAAATGCTCTGTGTTCGGGGGTTCGGGCTTTATTTTTCGATGTCCGTTGAGGTGTCCTGCCCAGCTAGGAGGCAGACTAGCCACTGTTTGCCTGCCGAGGCTCCGCCCTGCTGTTGTGTGATTCGCCCTGTTCCTGCAGGCTCTGCTGTGGTCTCCACCATGCCCTGTGGCAGAGTCTCTTCATTGTAGCGCGTTACCTCAGCAACGGCATGCTGCGTCAGCAGTGGGTGTGTATCTCAGTAGGGACGGGTTGCCTCAGCAACGGGAGGCTGCGTCAGCAGTGGGCGTGTATCTCAGTAGGGACGGGTTGCCTCGGCAACAGCTGGCTGCGTCAGCAGTAGGCGTGTATCTCAGTTGGGGAGGGTTGCCTCGGTAGTGGTGGACGCCCCTCCCCCACAGAGTGTCTCGGACCATTAGCTCGGGATAGTTTGAAATCGCGGTTTTGTTCGTCCCACTGGGTACCTCAAATGCTCTGTCCCTGCAATCCCCTGGGCTGGCCTACTGTCCAAGTCTCGTTCAGTCTCAAGTCCAGCCCTCTCAAGTCTCAGGTTGCCAGTTCAACAGGGCACCCAGACAAGTGTGCCCTGTGGGGATTGCTGGGTAGGGCCAGCCGCCGCCGCCCCGGCTGCCAGCTTCGCCAGGCAGACCTACTGCCTGGCGTCCTGTGTCTTTTTTATACTTGGGAGTTTCCCCGTTTTGTGGGCAACAAAGATCAGTCTGGAAATGCAGCTCCGACTCACCTCTTTGCGGATTCAATGAGAGCTCCAATCCTGGGTTGTTCTCACAGCGCCATCTTGAGTCCTCCTCTCTTTTGTTTTTCGGCTCTTTCACTTTAAAGCCCCCATGTGCCATGCCAATGTCTTCTATGTACCTTGTATGTACAAGAAACAATACTGAGAATGTTTTTTGAGGTGTGGTGGTTAATATAACTGCCCAGGTATTTTTCTGGATTGTCATCAGTAAATTTATTTGGCCTATAAATCCCTAACAATTAGAGTTGCTTTCAGGAGTTGTAATAAATGCATTTGGAAGGAAGGGATACAACAAAAATATATAGGCCTATTTTTAAAATATATATTAAATGTTTCTTTAGAATGTTTGAAATAGTTATTTCTGTTTTAAAAGAAATGGTTTTTTTTGTTGTCAAAGCCAATGTTTTTGAGACAGAGAAACTGCATCCAAGCAAAATATTTATTCAAGAAATTGATTTATATTTGGGTATCTTGGGCCAGATGCTCTTTTTAAAACAGGACCATTACAGTTCTCTCTTTAAAACAGGACCATTTCACTTCTGAAAACTCTTCAGCTGGATTTAAGCAGAGAAGTAGAGAATAGTCACCCCAAAAGGATATTAACTTACTCATAATCTAGAAATGTATTAACTTTTGCCATCAATGCTATTCTCACCGCACACAACTTATAGCCAAGTTAGAACTGGAGGTAGACACTTGAGATCCTCTTCTAACTTAATGTTAGAGTTTTTGACTCTAGGAATGTCCTTTTCAAATTAAAACACCTAATTAACTTCCTTGAAACATCCTGTTTCCATTTCTCCAGGGAAGATGAAGATGAGACAGCTAGCTTTAAAAAACTTACACTAGTGCTTTTTAAGGTGAAGAGAGATTCAGTCTCTACCACTATGAAATGGGGAAAAAATAAAAGCTGAGCAAGGAGGGAGGACAGAGAAATCATATGGGTTTATGCATTTTCTAAGTTTAGGGTGATTTAGTTGTGTGTTTTAAATATTGTGACTTTTCACATCTGCTGACATCTGGTAGTGCCTTTCAAAACCCAGTAAATATGATCTTTGTGTTATCTATTGCTTTAAATTATTTGTCCCACATCAAAGTTTGAGCAGAATTTTAGTGGACTTTTTTTTAGTTTTTCTTCTTCCAAGGTATATAGTACAAGGCCCCAGTCATGCATTCGTGAACTGGCCATTATAACAGTTGGGTATATTTTTTGGAGGGGATGCATACAACCTTTTGGGTGATTTTGCATCTCCTCAGGGAGAATATTAACTGATGCCCCATACCCTGTGCCTGCAGGTTAGCTGTATTTGGTAACTGGAAATGGAATTGCAAAATGTGCCCAGCTTATCACTTCTCTTTCCATACATGTTGGGAGGGAAGTCTTTCTAGTCCTAGAAAAACCTCTGCTGCTGATTAGAAGAATTTGTGACAGCAGTTACTTATTTACTGTTTACATAATCAACAAAATATTTTTAGATACAGAAGTAGTTGTCTTAAACTGCACTGATTGGAGTGAATATTTGTTTATAAATACTTTTTAAAACTAATGTTACATATCTGAATTATAGAGAACTTTTTCTTAGAAGAAAACTGCCTTTTTTCTTTCCTTAGAAATGTTTCCTGACATCTCTGTAGCTTCGTGAGTAATCAGACATGCAAATAGCCCCTCAGAAATCAAGCTAAACTTAAAGAAGACTTAGTTGGAAACTTTGGAGAGTAGATCATGGAGTGCAAGATTGAGGGAAAAGAAAAATACCAACATAGCTTGAATTTACTGAATCAAATTAAGAACATGAAAGAATTAGCAGAAATGATTGATGTGGTACTCATTGCAGAAGAAGAGAAATTTCCTTGCCACAGACTGGTCCTGGCTGCATTTAGTCCTTATTTCAAAGCTATGTTCACCTGTGGACTACTTGAATGTAATCAAAGGGAAGTCATACTTTATGACATCACAGCAGAAAGTGTGGCAGTGTTATTAAATTACATGTACAATGCAGCTTTGGATATCAATAATGCCAATGTACAGACGGTAGCTATGGCTGCCTATTTTATGCAGATGGAAGAAGTCTTCAGTGTGTGTCAAAAATATATGATGGACCACATGGATGCTTCGAACTGTTTAGGTATCTATTATTTTGCAAAGCAGATTGGAGCTGAAGATTTATCTGATCAATCAAAGAAATATTTATATCAGCACTTTGCCGAGGTGAGCTTACATGAAGAAATACTAGAAACTGAAGTGCACCAATTTTTGACACTTATTAAATCAGATGATCTTAACATATCCAGAGAAGAGAGCATTCTGGAGTTAGTTCTGAGATGGGTAAATCATAACAAAGAATTGCGTACAGAGCATCTTGTTGAGCTTTTGAAGCAAGTCAGATTGGAACTTGTAAATCCTTCTTTTTTAAGACAAGCCTTAAGAAGGAACACAATGCTTCTGTGTGATGCAGATTGCATTGACATAATTCAAAATGCATTCAAAGCCATCAAGACACCCCAACAGCACTCTCTAAATCTGCGCTATGGCATGGAGACTACCAGTCTTCTGCTTTGCATTGGCAACAATTCTTCAGGAATCAGATCAAGACATAGGAGCTATGGGGATGCCAGTTTTTGTTATGATCCTATATCACGGAAAACCTATTTCATCTCATCTCCCAAGTATGGAGAGGGTTTAGGAACTGTGTGTACTGGTGTTGTAATGGAAAATAACACTATAATTGTGGCTGGAGAAGCAAGTGCCTCTAAACTCTCTAGACAGAAGAACAAGAATGTCGAAATTTATAGGTTTGTATCTAACAGCAAATTTGCTTAATTATGTTGTTTTGATACTGTCAACAGTAGAAGAACTGCAAAAAGTCATCACATCTTAAATTACGTGTAGTCAAAATTACCCTGTAAGTCTCCCATAGGAATAGTATGCAGAACATGTTTTTGTATGTCTGTGTGTATATATATATATATATATATATATATATAATCTATAACTCTAAATATAAATATAGCATAGATAAAATACATAAATATATAAATATAAATGTAACATATAGAACTTACATAATGAAATCACTCACATTTTTAAATTATTTTTTCTCTTCCTTTAATTAACATATAGTTGAATTTGCATAAGTTAAATGTGTGTGTTGTGATCCCATTTTAGTTTTCACTCTTAGCTTTATTTTCCATATATAGGGCCTAATATACTGCTTTGTTTTTTAAAATCTTAATATAACAAGAAGGAAAGTTTACTAACACCGACTCCTTTGAATTTATTTTTTAGTTCATAATTTGGAGTAATAATTTTTTCTTAACCATAAATTACTAATAATCTGTCAGTTTTTATTCTGTGCCCTTAATTTGCGGATCTTGCTTAAATCTCCAGTATTGTAAAATGTTTGTAGTCTAAGAATGCTTTAATCCTAGAACTGCAGTAAGAGAAAAGAATGCCTGCTAAGAAGTAGCATCTCATTTAGGTTTTGCTTGTAAGAACGCATACATTTATTTACTGTTTATTCAGCCAGTATTAAATAAGAATTTAGCACTTAAATCTAAGTCAGAAAATGAGAAATATGCACATGAAATAAATACTAGATAGTAAAACTTGCCTTCAATATTTTTCTCCTCTCAGGTCTCTTTTACCAGGGTTTGTTTAGACTTTTCAGTCAGAAAGTAATTCTTAGCAGTGAAGATGGGCCCAAAGAGAGGATGAAGAGGTCTACTATTTTTCTGTCATCTCCTAACATTACATTATCTGTCTCAAGCTACAGGCCTGTCCCTTTTCCACATTCATACTTTGAAGACCATCTAATTTTCCCTAGTAGTGATAGGAGAGGGAATGCAGAGCCCTGGCTGAGTGACCTAGACCTGTGCCCATGGTGGCCAAGCATATCCCTGAGCCACAAGAACAGCTTCTTCAGAATTATCAGGGAGAGACCACTGAGCCAGCAGAGCAGATCCCCACAGGAAGAGGAAACCTTGGCTTCCTGACGTGGTTCTCACGGGTCCATGCCACCTGTTTTACACTTGCTGTTGGTTGGGTGTCCTTCTTTCCATCTTAGAACCTCTTGACCCAGTACCTTTGTTACATACTTTTTTTCTTCCTCCTCAAGATAGTCTACAATTCTGCCATCAGATCTTTTATACATATATATATATAAAAAGACGGGATTTCACCATGTTGGTCAGGCTGGTCTTAAACTTCCGACCTCAGGTGATCAACCTGACTTGGCCTCCAATGTGCTTGGATTACAGGCATGAGCCACCATACCCAGCCTTTTTGTTTGTTTGTTTGTTTTCAGATCTTATTTTTAATAAACCTCCAACCCTGTCAAAGTGTCTTTCAGTTTTGGTCCTCAAACATCTTTCCCTTTAACGTGTTGAAAGCCCATTTCCCTTTCTAACAGCAAATGCCTAACTATATACCCCATGCTTTCCTTCCTATTTATTTTGAACTCAACCAGGTTCCCATCACAAACCATCTCCTCCACATTAGGCAGGGTTAGGGTAAAAGTTATTAGTTACCACCATCATTTCCTCCAATAATGAAACTGTCAGAAGCATTGCTTTAGGCTTAAATGGCACTTCCAGCTGATGATCTATGTAATTAAAATCTCCTAGCCTTACTGAAGGTCACTGTAGTGCCAGTTTTGTGATACGGATGAGAAATTTATCATCCTGTGCTACATCCCTGTTATATTATTTGTGTACTTTATTCTTTTGATCTTTGTCCAGATGCTCTTCAGTTTGCCTCTACTCATAGATTTCCATGCAGATATATTTCTTAGTGACTTAAAGAGGAAGTAGGCTAGTATTCTGGAAGATTATTTCTTCCAAAAAAGATGTACCTTTCCATCTCCTTCACTTATCTCCATTTGTCTTTAAACTATCAACCTCTATTAACAATGAATGCTTTTGTCACTATTGTTTTTTTATGTCACTTAATAGTAAGTTTTAGAGTTTTATCTGGGCATTATCTCTCCCCGTTTTCAGTTCTAAATGTGAAAACAAAAATCAGATTAGCAAGTCACCCAGCAAACATCTACTTCCTAACCTTTATGGGATGTATTTCACTCCTAGCCTATTTTCTTAGACTATGTCTCAGAAAACCCAAACCCATTTTTTAAAGTTCATTTATATATTCATTCAGTTGGCTTTACTTTGGTAGCCCCCACATATATTACAGATACCTATTCCTCTTTTCTCTTCTAAAATGTATGCAATCAAAAATAGTGATGAAAATAATCACCTGTGATTCTAGAGGCTTTGGTTCTCTGCCTAGAATTACATAGAAGACAGCCATTATAAGGTTTGATAAATTTCTGCCTTCAGCTGTGACAAGCCAGGCATGCCCCCTTAGAAAGGAGCATGCCTTCCAACTTCCCTGTCAAGCCTCAAGTAAAGAGATCTCTCTGGGAAAGAAGGGAAGAGTTGGCTTAGACAACTGGGAAAAAATTCCTATCATAGAATTAACTGTCAGATGTTAAGTGAAAAATAAATAGTCTATACTTAAAAATTGTACTCTGTATAAAACAAAAATATCATAATTTCCTCATTTATTTCTAAATTAACCATTTTTTTCTTAATTTCAATGTTTTTCTGTTTTTTTTGTGTTTTGTTTAATTTTGAATTCCAGATGTACTTTCTGGATTTTCTGGCACATTTAATTTCACATATTTTATCCCTCTGCCCCCATTAAGTACTTTTGTCCTTCTCAGACTCTGTATCTTCAATTGTGATTGGAGATAAAGACTTACCATTATGATGCAAGACAAAGACAGCCACAAACTCATCTACGCAGTGACCATATAATGAGCCCTCACACACATAACCAGTTAATGTGTTGGACTCTAAAAGGCATTGAAAGACCACATATACTAATGTCCCTAGCTCTTAAGACTCTTCTTAGACTGATACTCTGGAAGAAATTACCAAAATTGCCATATCTAGTAGATTAAAATAGATGTTAAGTGCCCAACAGACATCTACACAGTACTCTTGACCCAACTGTAAGCCAGCTGGAACCACAACAGTTCTTAAAATTCTACATATGAGCAATTTATGAATTGAGATGTTTTTAGATTCTCTGCCCTAAAACTGTGATTTCTTTAATGTTCATATTAGTGATATTTCTTGTCCATAGAATAAGGCATACTTGTATTTTTGCTTACTTTTTTCCCCCTTACTTTTATGGTAAAATTACAAATTATTTGCTGAAAAGCTTTCTATTCATTCTTGATTTTCTTTCCTGGATTTAGAAAATGAAGGCTAGTCATGGGTAATCTATACTTTTTCTCTATATTTTTTTCTAAAATTCTTCAGGTATATGTGGTTAATTATTTTAAAGCACATTATATTTTGTTGATCATGGCTTAAAAAAAAAGCAAACCTATATCACTATCTTGTATTAATGCTTTTTGTCCTCCAATTGAAAGAACCATATCTCATTATTTTTGGCCAGAAAATAAATAAGTGTATTTCTTGGGTAAACTGCTTTCATGTTACCTCTAATCCTGGATACTCTCTCTCTCTCTCTCTCTTGATTTATAGGTATCATGATAGAGGAAACCAGTTTTGGGAAAAGTTATGCACAGCTGAATTTCGAGAACTCTATGCTCTGGGCAGTATTCATAATGACCTCTATGTTATAGGAGGACAGATGAAAATTAAAAACCAGTATCTTATTACAAACTATGTTGATAAGTACTCTGTAGAACGGGACAATTGGAAAAGGGTGTCTCCCCTTCCACTGCAATTGGCATGTCATGCTGTAGTGACAGTGAATAATAAACTTTATGTGATTGGAGGCTGGACCCCTCAGGTTAAGAAATTTTCTGTATACACAATTGGCATGGCTATACTGAGGCTGGCTGCTATGTTACAAATTGTTGTAGTTGTTGAATACTAAAGGAGTATGACTTATATTTTGGTAAAATGCTTTCTGTTTTATAGAATATAACTTAAGGTTTTAAAGTGTTAAAGCAATTTAGCAGAATGGGTTTTTAAAGTGTGTTTTCATAGACATGACTTGATTCACTATTCATGCTGTGTTCTTCATAATCCTCCCATCCTTGCTAATTATGAAAGATGTTTGTGCTGTGGGATTATCTGTAGGGAGCATCTAACTAGGAGGAAGAAAAGCTGGATCTTCATCCAGCTCTGTGACCTAAAGCAAGTAAATCATCGTCCTTTTTCATATTTAAAATTCTTACCCTAATTGAGACATTAGAATACTGATCTGTGATGGTACAATCATTTCTATGAAAGCATACTGTGATTGTAACACTTGATGTTTTTATTGGGCATCAGCAGGCAGAGAACCCAGAATAAGGGTGTTTCTCTTGAAGTCAGTGAAGTGATGGCAAACCAGAATGAAAAATCAGGGGTGTGTGGCCACAGTGGCCTTCTCCCTCCCTTCTGAATGTCCTCTCTAGGTGCCTGGGAGCACTCTTCATAGCATCACTGCAGCTGCCTTATGCCCTGGCCAGCTGGACTTTCTAAAAACACTAATCTCACTCGCTCATAGGTCATCCTCATGGTATAAAGTAAATTTATTTTTGCCTATATTATTTTTTGTTTCTCCAATTTTGCTTCATGATAAAACTGATGCTATTTGCATTCATTCCAGAAACTTGGATTTTACCATTCATTTATAGTATATCATACCTGTTTTAACAACTTACACCTCACATTTAACACATTTAAAATTTTTTGCTATATGTCAAAAAGTAGTACAGATTTCATCACAGCTAGTAGGAGAAACCTGACAGATTATTTATAATTAAGTTTTTTCAAAACTATCCATTTACATAGTTAATTTTGCATGAATAAGCTCCAAAAACGACTTAGAAGCTTTTCTTTGCATTTCTTTCACTAAGAGATTAAGTACTTAAATTAGAAGGAAAATTAAAACTATAAAGTAAACGTTTGTTAATTTATAAAGTCTCTGAACAGGTAAGGTGGATGTTTACTGCATAGAGGAAAGGCTTTGCTACCTGATTAAGTACCTTGTATAAAACGCTAAATTGCAAGATCACATAGGGTTGTGCGTGTGCCATGGTGAGCATAACTCTTGGTGTATTTAAAGTAGTTAACTAAAATTAATTGCATAAACTTTCATAAATATGCCAGTTATTTCTTTGTTGAACACTTGCATCCCAAAAAAATGATACTCATGAATCCTCAGTTTGAAGTCATATGAAGTTCCACATACATGTATACAAAAAACATTATTTCTCCTAAAATTTGTGAATAGGGAAAGCCACATCTATGTAAATATAAAGTTGTTTAATTTGTACCTTCTGTAGTCATTAAAAATTTATAAAATAAGTATGTTAAAATAACTGCAAATAATTTATATCAGTCCATAAATCTTGAAAAATGAATTCATGACATTTCTATATAGGTCATAATTATGGTGTAAAAATAATTACAAAGACACTAAAATGTTTTGGCAACTTTGTTTCATATGGATTAGAAAAATATAAAGAAAATGCCTTATAAATTATTAAAATTAGTATCTCACAAATATTAAAATCAACAACTATAAAGTTTGGTAAAATAGAATTGCACTTTAAATACTATTCAAGAGAGCTTGGTTTTATGTTTAAGGCTTTGCTGTTGCTTCTTTAAAAAAAAAACAAAAGCTGTAATGAATGTTCCACTGCTAAGATCACAGATTGTCTGCTATAACTGAACACCTTAGGCTCATTATTTTAGAATATAAATATCTCTGATATTGACAGTATACTTATAATCCAAGTCATGGGGTTTGGTGTGTTTGTGAGTATGAGTCACTGTAGTTAACCTCTATTTATCTCCTTGGCTGTCTGCTTTGATTAATTGCATTCACGTACTCACAAATATCATTAAATTGTATGTTATTATATTGGCTGTCATATTTCATACAGATGGATCTTCCTGATGAAGAACCTGATCGATTAAGCAACAAACTGTTGCAGTATGACCCCAGCCAAGATCAATGGAGTGTGCGGGCACCCATGAAGTACTCTAAGTACCGATTCAGTACAGCCGTAGTCAACAGTGAGATTTATGTTCTGGGTAAGAAGCAGCAGGTTGCTAACAGCATAACTACTCTTATTTTCCTCAGCAAAAATGCAACGCTCTCCTTTGCTCTTGTATCCCAGTTCAAATTTATATACAAGTAGCTGAACTTTGTCTTTTATTTCTTGTTTTCTTTTTTTGAGACGGAGTTTTGCTCTTGTTACCCAGGCTGGAGTGCAATGGCTCGATCTCGGCTCACCGCAATCTCCGCCTCCTGGGCTCAGGCAATTCTCCTGCCTCAGCCTCCTGAGTAGCTGGGATTACAGGCACGCGCCACCATGCCCAGCTAATTTTTTGTATTTTTAGTAGAGATGGGGTTTCACCATGTTGACCAGGATGGTCTCGATCCCTTGACCTCGTGATCCACCTGCCTCGGCCTCCCAAAGTGCTGGGATTACAGGCCTGAGCCATCACGCCCGGCCTTATTTCTTGTTTTCTAGAGCACAGTCAAATAAGATTAAAGGAAGTCCAGTGACATATTGAGAGCAAAATTATTTTTATGGCTTTTACAAGTGCCTTGGAATGTAAAAACAGTAATGCTACATCCTTATATATACTATCAAGTAATATACTTTGAAATAGGAATAAGCCTTTGGCCACTTTTAGTCAATGAAATATGGGCTTTTGTATCAACTGTGATGGATCTGTGCCATTAGAAGAGAAAGCCACCTTAGGTAAGATATTGCCACAGATTGTGCCAACCCTCATTTTGCCTAACCCACCAAGTTTCTAGAGAGGTGGTATCAAACAATTTTCATCTGAATGCACTTTTTTCTTATGTGTGTCTTGTACTTCTTTTTTTTTTTTCTTAATTTATTTATTTATTATCAGTATCTAGTTTCTTCTTTTTTTTTTTTTTTTTAATCTTTCATTGGATTATAAGTTTTGGGGTACTTGAGCAGAGCATGCAAGACAGTTGTGTAGGTACACACATGGCAGTGTGCTTTGCTTTTCTTCTCCCCTTTACCCACATTTGGCATTTCTCCCCAGGCTATCCCTCTGCACCTTCCCCTCCCACTGGCCCTCCCCTTTCCCCCCCAATAGACCCCAGTGTTTAGTACTCCCCTTTCTGTGTCCATGTGTTCTCATTTTTCATCACCCACCTATGAGTGAGAATATGCGGTGTTTCATCTTCTGTTCTTGTGTCAGTTTGCTGAGGATGATGTTCTCCAGATTCATCCATGTCCCTACAAACGACACAAACTCATCATTTCTGATTGCTGCATAATATTCCATGGTGTATATGTGCCACATTTTTCCAATCCAGTCTATTATCAATGGGCATTTGGGTTGATTCCAGGTCTTTGCTATTGTAAACAGTGCTGCAATGAACATTCGTGTACATGTGTCCTTATAGTAGAACGATTTATAGTCTTTTGGATATATACCCAGTAATGGGATTGCTGGGTCAAATGGAATTTCTATTTCTAAGGCCTTGAGGAATCGCCACACTGTCTTCCACAATGGTTGAACTAATCTACACTCCCACCAACAGTGTAAAAGTGTTCCTTTTTCTCCACATCCTCTCCAACATCTGTTGTCTCCAGATATTTTAATGATCGCCATTCTAACTGGCGTGAGATGGTATCTCAATGTGGTTTTGATTTGCATCTCTCTGATGACCAGTGACGATGAGCATTTTTTCATATGATTGTTGGCCTCGTATATGTCTTCTTTCGTAAAGTATCTGTTCATATCCTTTGCCCACTTTTGAATGGGCTTGTTTGTTTTTTTCCTGTAAATCTGTTTGAGTTCTTTGTAAATTCTGGATATCAGCCCTTTGTCAGATGGATAGACTGCGAAAATTTTTTCCCATTCTGTTGGTTGCCGATCCACTCTAGTGACTGTTTCTTTTACCGTGCAGAAGCCGTGGAGTTTGATTAGGTCCCATTTGTCTATTTTGGCTTTTGTTGCCAATGCTTTTGGTGTTTTGTTCATGAAGTCCTTGCCTACTCCTATGTCCTGGATAGTTTTGCCTAGATTTCCTTCTAGGGTTTTTATGGTGCCAGGTCTGACGTTTAAGTCTTTAATCCATCTGGAGTTAATGTTTGTGTAAGGTGTCAGGAAGGGGTCCAGTTTCTGCTTTCTGCACATGGCTAGCCAGTTTTCCCAACACCATTTGTTAAACATGGAATCCTTTCCCCATTGCTTGTTTTTGTCAGGTTTATCAAAGATTGTATAGTTGTATGTATGTTGTGTTGCCTCCGGTGCCTCTGTTTTGTTCCATTGGTCTATATCTCTGTTTTGGTACCAGTACCATGCTGTTTTGATTACTGTAGCCTTGTAGTATAGTTTGAAATCCGGTAGTGTGATGCCCCCCGCTGTGTTCTTTTTGCTTAGAATTGACTTGGCTATGCGGGCTCTCTTTTGGTTCCATATGAAGTTCATGGTGGTTTTTTCCAGTTCTGTGAAGAAAGTCAATGGTAGCTTGATGGGGATAGCGTTGATTCTGTAAATTACTTTGGACAGTACAGCCATTTTCACAATATTAATTCTTCCTAACCATGAACATGGAATGTTTCTCCATCTGTTTGTGTCCTCTCTGATTTCATTGAGCAGTGGTTTGTAGTTCTCCTGGAAGAGGTCTCTTACGTTCCTTGTGAGTTGTATTCCAAGGTATTTTATTCTTTTTGTAGCAATTGCGAATGGCAGTTCGTTCTTGATTTGGCTTTCTTTAAGTCTCTTATTGGTGTAGACAAATGCTTGTGATTTTTGCACATTGATTTTATATCCTGAGACTTTGCTGAAGTTTCTTATCAGTTTCAGGAGTTTTTCGGCTGAGGCGATGGGGTCTTCTTGGTATACTATCATGTCATCTGCAAATAGAGACAATTTGGCTTCCACCTTTCCTATTTGAATACCCTTTATTTCTTTTTCTTGCCTGACTGCTGTGGCTAGATCTTCCAGTACTGTATTGAATAGGAGTGGTGAAAGAGGGCATCCTTGTCTAGTGCCAGATTTCAAAGGGAATGCTTCCAGTTTTTGCCCATTCAGTATGATATTGGCTGTTGGTTTGTCACAAATAGCTTTTATTACTTTGAGATACGTTCCATCGATACCAAGTTTATTGAGGGTTTTTAGCATAAAAGGCTGTTGAATTTTGTCAAATGCCTTCTCTGCGTCAATTGAGATAATCATGTGGTTTTTGTTTTTGGTTCTGTTTATGTGGTGAATTACGTTGATAGACTTGCGTATGTTGAACCAGCCTTGCATCCCCGGGATGAATCCTACTTGATCATGATGAATAAGTTTTTTGATTTGCTGTTGCAATCGGCTTGCCAATATTTTATTGAAGATTTTTGCATCTATGTTCATCATGGATATTGGCCTGAAGTTTTCTTTTCTCGTTGGGTCTCTGCCGGGTTTTGGTATCAGAATGATGTTGGTCTCATAAAATGATTTGGGAAGGATTCCCTCTTTTTGGATTGTTTGAAATAGTTTTAGAAGGAATGGTACCAGCTCCTCTTTGTGTGTCTGGTAGAATTCGGCTGTGAACCCATCTGGACCTGGGCTTTTTTTGTGTGGTAGGCTCTTAATTGCTGCCTCAACTTCAGACCTTGTTATTGGTCTATTCATAGTTTCAGCTCCCTCCTGGTTTAGGCTTGGGAGGACACAGGAGTCCAGGAATTTATCCATTTCTTCCAGGTTTACTAGTTTATGCGCATAGAGTTGTTTGTAATATTCTCTGATGATGGTCTGAATTTCTGTGGAATCTGTGGTGATTTCCCCTTTATCATTTTTTATTGCATCTATTTGGTTGTTCTCTCTTTTATTTTTAATCAATCTGGCTAGTGGTCTGTCTATTTTGTTGATCTTTTCAAAAAACCAGCTCTTGGATTTATTGATTTTTTGAAGGGTTTTTCGTGTCTCAATCTCCTTCAGCTCAGCTCTGATCTTAGTTATTTCTTGTCTTCTGCTGGGTTTTGAGTTTTTTTGATCTTGCTCCTCTAGCTCTTTCAATTTTGACGATAGGGTGTCAATTTTGGATCTCTCCATTCTCATATGGGCACTTATTGCTATATACTTTCCTCTAGAGACTGCTTTAAATGTGTCCCAGAGGTTCTGGCACGTTGTGTCTTCATTCTCATTGGTTTCGAAGAACTTCTTTATTTCTGCCTTCATTTCATTGTTTACCCAGTCAACATTCAAGAGCCAGTTGTTCAGTTTCCATGAAGCTGTGCGGTTCTGGGTTGGTTTCTGAATTCTGAGTTCTAACTTGATTGCACTATGGTCTGAGAGGCTGTTTGTTATGATTTCAGTTGTTTTGCATTTGTTGAGCAGTGCTTTACTTCCAATTATGTGGTCAATTTTAGAGTAGGTGTGATGTGGTGCTGAGAAGAATGTGTATTCTGTGGATTTGGGGTGGAGAGTTCTGTAAATGTTTATCAGGTTTGCTTGCTCCAGGTCTGAGTTCAAGCCCTGGATATCCTTGTTGATTTTCTGTCTGGTTGATCTGTCTAGTATTGACAGTGGAGTGTTAATGTCTCCCACTATTATTGTGTGGGAGTCTAAGTCCTTTTGTAAGTCGTTAAGAACTTGCCTTATGTATCTGGGTGCTCCTGCATTGGGTCCATATATGTTTAGGATCGTTAGCTCTTCTTGTTGTATCGATCCTTTTACCATTATGTAATGGCCTTCTTTGTCTCTTTTGATCTTTGTTGCTTTAAAGTCTATTTTATCAGAGATGAGAATTGCAACTCCTTTTTTTTTTTTTTTTTTTTTTGCTTTCCGTTTGCTTGGTAAATCTTCCTCCATCCCTTTATTTTGAGCCTTTGTGTATCCTTGCATGTGAGATGGGTTTCCTGGATACAGCACACTGATGGGTTTTGGATTTTTATCCAATTTGCCAGTCTGTGTCTTTTGATTGGTGCATTTAGTCCATTTACATTTAGGGTTAATATTGTTATGTGTGAATTTGATACTGCCATTTTGATGCTAAGTGGCTGTTTTGCCTGTTAGTTGTCGTAGATTCTTCATTATGTTGATGCTCTTTAGCATTTAGTGTGATTTTGGAATGGCTGGTACTGGTTGTTCCTTTCTATGTGTAGTTCCTCTTTTAGGAGCTCTTGTAAAGCAGGCCTGGTGGTGACAAAATCTCTGAGTACTTGCTTGTTCGCAAAGGATTTTATTTTTCCTTCACTTCTGAAGCTCAGTTTGGCTGGATATGAAATTCTGGGTTGAAAGTTCTTTTCTTTAAGGGTGTTGAATATTGGCCCCCACTCTCTTCTGGCTTGTAGTGTTTCTGCCGAGAGATCTGCTGTGAGTCTGATGGGCTTCCCTTTGTGAGTGACCTGACCTTTCTCTCTGGCTGCCCTTAGTATTCTCTCCTTTATTTCAACCCTGTTGAATCTAATGATTATGTGCCTTGGGGTTGCTCTTCTTGCAGAATATCTTTGTGGTGTTCTCTGTATTTCCTGCAATTGAGTGTTGGCCTGTCTTGCTAGGTGCGGGAAGTTTTCCTGGATGATGTCCTGAAGAGTATTTTCCAGCTTGGATTCATTCTCTTCGTCCCCTTCTGGTACACCTATCAAACGTAGGTTAGGTCTTTTCACATAGTCCCACATTTCTTGGAGACTTTGTTCATTCCTTTTTGCACTTTTTTCTCTAATCTTGGTTTCTCGTTTTATTTCATTGAGTTGGTCTTCGACTACAGATATTCTTTCTTCTGCTTGGTCAATTCTGCTATTGAAACTTGTGCATGCTTCGCGAAGTTCTCGTATTGTGTTTTTCAGCTCCTTTAATTCATTCATATTCCTCTCTAAGTTATCCATTCTTGTTATCATTTCCTCATATCTGTTTTCAAGTTCCTTAATTTCTTTGCATTGATTTAATACATGATCTTTTAGCTCATAAAAGTTTCTCATTATCCATCTTCTGAAGTCTAATTCCGTCATTTTGTCACAGTCATTCTCCGTCCAGCTTTGTTTCCTTGTTGGGGAGGAGTTTTGGTCCTTTCTAGGAGGCGAGGTGTTCTGGTTTCGGGTGTTTTCCTCCTTTTTGCGCTGGTTTCTTCCCATCTTTGTGGATTTGTCCGCTGGTCGTCTGCGTAGTTGCTGACTTTTTGATTGGGTCTCTGAGTGGACACCCAGAATGTTGATGATGAAGTATTTCTGTTGCTTGATTTTCCTTCTACCAGTCTAGCCCCTTCACTGTACGACTGCTGAGGTTCGCTCCAGACCCTGCTTGTCTGGGGTGCACCTCTAGCTGCTGTGGCACAGCAAGGGATGCTACCAGTTTCTTTTTCTGCTATCTTTGTCCCAGGATGATGCCTGCCTAATGTCAGTCTTTTGGATATAGAGGGGTCAGGGAGCTGCTTGAGGAGACAGTTTGTACTTTATAGGGGCTTAATTGCTGAGCTGTGAGCTCTGTTGTTCCTTCAGGGCTGTTAGGCTGCTATGTTTGATTCTGCTGCAACAGAGCTCATTAAAAAAACCTTTTTTTTTTCTCAAATGCTCTGTGTTGAGGGGTTTGGGCTTTATTTTTGGATGTCCGTTGAGGTCCTGCCCAGCTAGGACGCAGACTAGCCACTGTTTGCCTGCCGAGGATCCGCCCTGCTGTCCTGAGGCTCACCCTGGCTCCGTTCTCCGCCACGCCTGCAGCGGATTCTCTCTGTTGTAGCGGGTTGCCTCGGCAATGGCAGGCTGCGTCAGCAATGGGCGTGTATCTCAGTTGGGGTGGGTTGCCTCGGTAATGTTGGACTTCCCTCCCCCACAGAGCGTCTTGGGCCATCTGCACGGGGCTTGTTTGAAATCGCGGTTTTGTTCATCCCACTAGGCCACCCCTAACGCTCTGTCCCTGCAATCCCCTGGGCTGGCCTACTGTCCAAGTCTAGCTCAGTCTCAAGTCCAGCCCTCTCATGTCTCCGGTTGCCGGTTCAACAGGGCACCCAGACAGGCACGCCCTGTGGGGAGTGCTGGGCAGGGCCAGCCGCCGCCACCCCGGCTGCCGGCTTCACCAGGCGGAGGTTCTGCCTGGCGTCCCGCATCTCCTCTTCACTTGGGAATTTCCCCATTCCGTGGGCAATAAAAATCAGTCTGGAAATGCAGCTCAGACTCACCTCTCCGCAGACACAACGAGAGCTCCAATCCTGGGTTGTTCTCACAGCGCCATCTTGAGTCTCCCTGTACTTCTTTTATGTGTGGTCTTGTACTAACTATAATTAGCAAGAACTGGAAAAGACTTAGTTCCACTAAGGTGGGTAAAAACAATTCCACAACATCTGCTGTGTATCCCCTATCCTTCTCCACTCCTTGATTCTTCCTGTTTTGTTAAGTCTTTAGCTCTTTTAAGTACATTTCATCTGCCTAACATTATCCTCTGTCACCTTCCTCACCTCCCATAAGTATGGGAAAGAAAGACTGAGGCAGGGAGGTTGATTGGATTGATGAAATGATACCTATGCCAATTCCTTATTTCATCCAATCTGCATTGATGGCTAACTGGAAAACCATGGGGACGATGATGGATAGCAAAGAAACAGCAAGGAAGAAATATGAAATAGGGGTGGAAGCAAACTAAGCATTTAAATAGAAAGTATTATGATTTTTTTTTACCAAAGGGAGGCCATTATCTCTTAGCTGTTTGCACAGCATGAAGTAAAGTAATTAATGCACTCAAGCATTAATAATTTTATGAATTTAAGAACAAGAACATTATGCACCATAATTTATGACTACCTCAGTTATGAGATTCACTTAATAATTAAGTTTTTTCTCTGGATATATATTTCTTACTTTGTTATAACCATATACTATGTCACAGCCCCAGAAAAGACAATCCCTAACCTATGATAGATCACCTTGGATAGGTGTATCACTCAAGGGGATGAAGGCCCTATCTACTAAACATTAAAGTTGGGGGCAGCCAAAAGTGGATAAAAGTAATACATCATTTGGACCAGAATGAGATTTCCCCCAATGTGGAGCCACAGCTAGGCTAGAGGTGTAATTTGAATGATGATATATTGTTTGATAAACTACATGGGAAAGGTACTTGTGGGAGCTTACACTTTATTTCATGAACAGTGTCTATTGAATAAATGAACAAGAAGGTAGATTTAAAAGAACTTGTAAGATTTGAGTGGATGAAATCTAGAAAAGGGTGTGCTCCAGGAAAGGGTGCAATGGTAGGGGGCAAAAAAAATAATAATAAGGAGAATGGAATAAGCAGTGGTTTGGAGATGAGAATGAAAGTGGTGAGAGTAGAGGATAAAAGGGGAGCGTCAATGAGCCCACCAGGGACAGAGAATTTTGAGAGACAAAGAGCTGAGTAGTAAACTGAGAACCAGATTATAGAGGCCTTGGATGAAGAATTAAGAAAATACTAGTGAACAGTAAGAAACCATAGAGAAGCAACATGATTAAAGAATGTTTTAGGAAAACTGGTGAGGTAAGCATATAAGGAACACACTGGAAGTGGAGAGACAAATTAGGAAGGTTTTCACAGTAGCTTACACTCTAGTTTCTGGATATTCAGAACTGGAGAACAGATTCATGATCACCCCAGTAAGCTTTACCACCTCGTAAGATTCAGCCCAAAAGAGTCAACTTCTTCAACCTTTGCGACTTAATTCCCAAATATATTTACAAGCTTTGAAATGAAATGTAGTTCAGTTGTTTAGGTATTTTTGTAGCAGTCTTAGTTCATATTTAATTGTTCACTGTATATATAATTGGAATTTGGGCAACTATCATATAGAACCCTAAAACCTTATTAGTTTCAGTGACTCACATTATCTTAGCAAAAGCCCTATCTGTTTTTAGGAATCTGTATATACTCCTACTATGTTTTGGATCACTGTCAATTAGTATAACAATAAGCCCTCTTTCTAATCCCTAAAATGGATTTAATTTCTTATTATGTCCTAGATGGTCTACAGGGTATCTCCCAAAAAGCAGCCACTGAAACCTTCTTCACCAGGAAGGCAGCATGGTAAAGTAGGGAAGGCACCAGCTTTGGAGTTGAGCATATTCGAATTGAAATCCTGACTTAATACTTGTATGTTCTTGGTCTAGTAAATCTTTTGTTGTTGTTGTTGCTAATATTAAAATGAGAATGCCTACCTCTTTGAAATATTAAGGTAAAATAATATATGTATAATCCCTACAATATAAGTGTTCAGACATTATAACTATTGAGCCCCTTTGTTACAGACACTTTGCTAAAGTCTTTGCTCAACAGTTTCACTTAATAGTCATAAAAGTAGATAAATTATTAACTGTGTTCTGAATAGCTGGCTAGATATCTAGACTCATCCTCCAACTAAAAAAACCCTAAAAATGTTGTAAAGCATATCTTTAAAAACCTTTTAAGATCTGACATGCCAGTAAGAATTTAGCAGGTCAAAAGCCAAATGAAAGCAGGAGACTTCCAACTATGAAGAACTGAAAAAGTCAACATTCTATACTCAGAATAACCATAAAATCAGGCAAATTTGTCAAAAACAACCATTTTGGAGCTCTATAAATCAATCATAAATAACAATTGAGAAGAGTTTTTTTGTTTAAAAACAGTACTGAGCTTGAAGTAAGACTTCAGGCAGTCTGTAGCATTCTCTTGTGAGGCTGGCCCTGTCCCTCACCACAGCTCATTTAACATGCTAGAGTGGGGCTGGCTACAAAAATTAGAAGCTTTTCTTGCTAAAGGGGGCTGACATGTTTGTGAGTAGATGGTGGAAACCCCACACTCACAATGGAAAATGGGAAAAGCCTACAGTTCTAGCCTGAGATTTCAGTCCTGGTTGGTACAACAGCAGACAAAAGAACTGGCCAGAAATTTAACAGGAAGATCCTGGAAATGAGAAAGTCATAGAGAAATGTGATAAAATCATCTCTTGGAGGCCAAGAAAGCTGCATAAACATGCAGCACCAAAGAGGGCTCGAGTTCTCCACACAGCCCTGACTTCATGCAATCCAGGGGAGACTTAAGAGGGCCCAAGCTCTCCACACATTCCTAGATGACTGGGAGGTTGAGCACATGTACAGAGCAGACCCAGGAGGGACAGGCAGAAGGTAAAAGTCACAACAGACTTGAAAACTCTCTGAACTTCTAATGTCCTCCCATGCAGATCCACCAGGAGAGGGTAGTAGCCTTACTGGTGTTTGACCACAACCACCAGTCATTGACAGTGCCTAAGCTATGCAGAAATAAAGGTGACTCATAGGCTAAAATATAAAAAAAATGATCATTTCTGAAAACAGAGGAGAGATAGCAGCAAATGGTAGAAGAGACATATTCAATTTAGGCAAGTTACTTAAAAACAAACAGCAACAAAAAAGCAGTCAAAAAACAGAGAAGAAAGAAACCCTCAGGGAAAAAAAAGAAAATCAGGATAAAAGGTTGCTGCTATATATTATCCATAATATCCAGTACCAAAAAAAAATTACAACACATGAAAAAGAAAAGAAAGAGAAATGTCTAACCCATTTGAGGGTGGGAGTGGTGCAGAAGTATTCAATAAACGCTGTCTCACCCAGGGAGTGAGCCTGGATGTTGAATTTGGGAGGCAGTCTTCAAAGTGACTATCAAATACATGTTCAAATAATTAATGAAAACCAATATTAAAGAATTAAAGGAAAATATGTCAATCAGCCCATTAAGAATAGAAATTATCTAAAAAAATAGAAATTCTAAACTTGTGAAGGACAATAAACCAAATAAAAATGCACTGAAGGGGCTCAGGACCACATTTGAGATGCAATATTAGAAGAAAGAATCAATGAACTTGAAATCCATAGAGATTATATAATCTGAAGAAGAGAGAAAAAAGTTGGAGAAAAATTAGCAGGACTCAGAGTCAGGTGGAATAAAATCAAACCTACAAACAGATGTTTAATGAGAATTCTAAAAGGAAATGGGAGAGAGAAGTAATAGTCAAAAATTTCTGAAATTTGATGGAAAAACATTAATCTACAGATCCAAAAAAATTGTCAGACCTCATGTAGGATAAATTCCCAGAGATCCTCACCTAAATACATAATAGAAGAACTGCTAAAGACAGAAAATTCTTAAAAGCAGCAAGATAAAATGACACATCATATAGAAGGGAACAACAGTATACCTAACAGATGAGACTTACCAGAAACAAAAGAGGCAGATAGGCAATGGGATATCTTATTCAGTGTTACAAGGAAAAAAACTGACCAATCAAGAATTCTGCATCCAGAAAAACTGTGCTTCAGAACTTAAGGTGAGGCTGGGCACTGTGGCTCGTACCTATAATTCCAGCACTTTGGGAGGCCAAAGTGGGCAGATCACTTGAGGTCAGGAGTTCGAGACCAGTGTGGTCAACATGGTAAAACCCCATATCCACTAAAAATACAAAAATTAGCTAGGTGTGATGGCGTGTGTCTGTAGTCCCAGACACTTGGGAGGCTGAGGCAGGAGAATTGCTTGAACCTGGGAGGTGGAGGTTGCAGTGAGCCAAGATCGCACGACTGCACTCCAGCCTGGGAACAGAACAAGACTTCGTCTCAAAAAAAAAAAAAATTAAGGTGAAACAGACATCCCCAGATGAATAAAGATGGAGACAATATGGGGCTAGCTAACTTACAAGGAGGTGATGCTAGACAGTAACCTGAGTCCACAGAAAGAAATTAATAGCACAAGAAATGGTAAATATATAGGTAAATAAAAAAGGCTGCATAAATACATGTTTTTCTTTTTTCTTCTCTTAATTTCTTTAAAAGATATAAAAGAATACAGATGCTCCTTGACTTACAATGGCATTCTGATCCAATATACCCATCATGGGTTGAAAATATAGAAAGTAAAAAATGAATTTTATACCCTAATAAACCCATCATGAAGTTGAAAATACTAAGTTAAACCATCATTAGTTGGGGATCATCTGTAAAGCAGTAATTGTGATACTATATAGTTGGGTTTTTCACATATGTAGATGTAATAATATATGACAATATCAGAGTAGAAGAGGAGAAAATGGAAATATTTTGGAACAAAGTTGCTGTTTGTAAGAAAGTCAACTCAATATTAACCTAAAATAGAGAATGACAAAATAAAATATATGTTAGAATTTCTAGAGCAACCACCAAGATTTTTAAAAATAGTTTAAAAGTCAACTAAAAAAGCCAGGCACAGTGGCATGCACCTGTAATTCCAGCTACTTGGAAGGTTGAGGTGGGAGGATCACTTGAGCCCAAGAGTTCAATACCAGCCTGGGCAATATAGTGAGACCCCTGCTCAAAAAAAAAAGTTACAAAAGAAAATGGTACACTTAAAAATGTATTAAATAGGCCAGGCACAGTGGTCCATGCCTGTAATCCCAGCGCTTTGGGAGACTGAGGCAGGCAGATCCCAGTCATGAGATTGAGACCATCCTGGCCAACATGGTGAAACCCCATCTCTATTAAAATAATTTTTTTAAAAAAATTCAGGCATGGTGGCATACACCTGTAGTTCCAGCTACTTGGGAGGCAGAGGCAGGGGAATAGTTTGAACCCGGGAGGTGGAGGTTGCAGTGAGATTGCACCACTGCACTCCAACCTGGCGGCAGAGCAAGACTTCATCTCAAAAAAAAAAAAAAAATGTGTTAAATACAAGAGAAGGCAGCAAAGGAGGAACAGAGAAAAAGAGTTACAAGATGTAGAAAACAAAGCGAAATGGCAGATGTTTAGCCAGTCATTATCAAAAATTTTATCAAATAGGAATGGACCAAACGCCCCAATCAAAAATCAGAGATTTTCATACTGAATAAGAAATTAAGATAAAATACATGGCTCTATAAGAGACTCATTTTGTATTCGAATACCCAAATAGGTTGAAAGTTTTACTATCATTTTATGATAGAGAAAGCCATAAAATGCAAACAGCAATATTAAGAGAGGTGCAGTGACTATATCATCCAACAAAATAGAGTAGAACTTTTACTACAGAGAAACAGAAAAATTTTATGATAATAAAATTGTCAATAATATCAGGAAACTACAGCAATTAAGAATGTGTCATACCCAACAAGAAAGACCTAAAATACATGAAGCAAAACCTGAGATGAAGCTGGGCACAGTGGCTCATGCCTGTAATCTCAGCACTTTGAGAGATTGAAGCAGGCAGATCACTTGAGGTTAGAAGTTCAAGACCAGTCTGGCCAACATGGCCAATCTCTACTAAACAAAAATAAGCCAGGCATGGTGCCATATGCCTATAGTCCTAGCCACTCAGAAGGCTGAGGCAGGAGAGTCACTTGAACCCAGGAGGCAAAAGTTGCATTGCGCTGAGATGGTGCCACTGCACTCCAGCCTGGGTGACAGAGTGAGACTCTGCCCAGGAGTCCAGAAAAGAAAAAAAAAAAAAAGAAATAGTCAAGCAATCATCAGTGGAGATTTATACCACCATCACGAATTGATAGAATAAGACAGAGTATCGCAAGGTTTTAGAAGATTTGAACAGTACTGTCAACTAAGTTTACTTACCTTAACTGGTGCTGATGGCTGCATAGCTTAGTAACTATACTAAAAATCACTAAATTGTACACACAATGGGTGTATAATGTGGTGTCTAAGCTGTCTCAATAAGTAAGTGTGCAGGACACCCAAATATTTATCAAGCCTGGTAAATTGTAAGCTCTAGTTTCTCAGGCTTGTGGCTTACCAAAATTACTCAGGGTGGGAAATGTAATCAGAGTTACTATGCACACATAAAGCTGGCACTTCAAAGAGCTATAGTCTCTGTATAACCATATACTAGAAGTAAACCTGCCTTACATCTCTCATCTCAGAGGACTTCAAAGAAATATCTTGGCCCTAAGAAAGCTACTGATTAAAGGCTCATATATCCCTGAGAAGTAATAATCATAAATAAGCTCTTGAGTGGAATTTTAACCCCAATTCACATACCCAAGTGGGAAAAAAAGAAAAGAAAAAGCTTGAATCATGAATTTAGTTTAAGATGTTTCAGACTGGTAGTGTGCTCAGGTACCTGGAAAAAGCAAATTCACATCCTCTCAAGGAATGCATCTTTATCCTAGGCCTCAAAAATCCCTCAATAAACATTCCACAGTTAATGAAACAAGACACCTTGAGCAAGAACCGATGGAAATAATGGTCAGTGAAAAAAATAAACAGCAATAACAAAAAACAGTGGAGACCTCACATACTGGAAGTATCAGACAAATAGTGTGCTTATTCTGTTTAAAGAAATAAAAGATAAGATTTACAGTATTATCAGGAAATAGAAAATGATAAAGAATGATCAAAAATGTTTGGGTAAGAAGTAACTTTATATCTGCAAGGAATGTAAAAATATATAACCCAATGGGTATTAAATATTAAAACCCAATGGGTATATTTGAGAACAGTTTACACAAAGGTAAAGAGAAAATTGGTGAATAGAAGAAAGTTCTGAATAATTTGCCCGGAGTATGTCACACAGGTTTTTTTTTAAATAGAAGAAAAGTTAAGATTGGGGAATAGAGTGAGAGGATAAATAATGTTTAACAAAGTTCCATAAGAAGAGGAAAAAGAGAAGAAGACAAAGGCAATATTTGAAGAAAAATGGGTGAGGATTTTCTAAAACCAGTGAAAGGCACTAATGCACACAAACAAATAAAAACAGTGAATGCCAAGCACAACAAATGAGAAATATATACATAGATTTGTAGTGATCATGAAACTGAAAAACACCAATGAAAAGAGAATATCTTAAAAGCAGTTCAAGTAAACAGACTGATTACTTTTAAGAAGCAACAGCTTGACAGCTGACTTGTCAACAGAATAATGGAATCCAAAAGACAATCAAATTAAACGTTTAATGTGCTAGGAGAAAATAAATGCTAAACTAGAATTCTATAACTACTGAGACTGTCTTTCAAGAACATAGATTAAATAGACATTTTCAGATGAGGTAAAACTGAAAGCATTTACCACCAGCAGACCACCATAAAGGAATTTTAAAGTATATTTTTAAGCAAAAAATGTGATCCCAGATTGAAGGTCTGAAATGCAAGATGAAATGAAGAGCAAAGACTGTAGTAAACACATGGATAAATGGAAACACTTCACACTTAAATACTTAAGACTATTTTAATATCAGTTACAAACAATATTGACTTAAACAATAATTAATAGTTTTAAAACAGTGACAAAATAGTCTTAAAACAAATGAAATTCAAAATAATAATAACAAGTTGGGACGGGGTGAGTAGAGTGAAAGTGTCCTTAGATCCCCTTATTATCCAGGAGGAAGACCAAGGAAGGGATTAAATTTGCAACATTTGATGAGACATTAACTATGTATGCTAAATTTCTAGGCTTACCACTAAGAGAATACAGAGTATACAAATTTTAAACTAATAAATGGGAAAAATAGAATTAAAAATTAGTGCAAAAGAATGCAACAAATAAGAAAGAGCAGATAGAATAAACAAGACAACTGATAATATGAAATAAGCTAGATATTAGATGAAATGTATCAACAATTATATTAAATGGAAATGCACTAAATGCTTCAGTTAAAAGACAAAGACTATCAATCTGTTGGAAAGAAAACCAATCATATTCTGCTTAAAATATGACTTGATTGGAAAACACATTTTAGATAAATTCTAACCAAAAGAAAGATTGTATAGCTGTTTATTAACATTAGGCAAAATATACTTTAAAGCAAAATCAATTAATAGAGATTTTGGTTCCAGGTAAAACGGAATAAGCACACTTCACTTGCTCTCCCACTGAATATAACTGTAAAACATGGAGAGAATGCATGAAAAAGGTATTTGAAGACTCTGTAACAGAAGTAGGTGCATCAAGAAAGAACACCAGAATTTTAAGTACTACTACCATAGGATTTACTATGGTTTCTCCTCTGATACCCCAGCCTGAAGTCAACACAGCTAGAAAATCAGAAATGGGTATTGTGAACAGAGAGAGCTCCAAGAAAATCTACCTACCTTTGGCATGAGTTACTGAAAAGGGAGGTTATAATTATCAGAATGTAGGTATGCCCTTACCTTTTTCTGTTTTTCTCTATACTCTTACATTTCAATACCTTCACAATCCCATGGCAATGATGACCAGCAAGAGCCAAAACTCAAAGGGAAAAGAAACTTCCTCTCCATTCATTCAAGCTGCAGTTCCAAGAGGGTGTGGTCAACTTGCTTTCCTCTTTCCCTTTCTCTCTTGTCCTGTCACTTGAGCTCAACAAGGTCCAAAGACAGAAATGTGTGGCACAGAGGGGAACTAGAACCTCAAGTTTCTAGCCAGAGAACCAAAAAAGGGAACATTTGGGAACTAAAAGTACCAGGGAGATCTCAGGGAGGGTTTTCAATGTATTTAGGCGTAATCTATGAGACATATATTTACATAGCATGAAAGAGGGAGGGTAAATGGAACTATAAGGAGAAGATTCCAACATTCTATTTACAGTGATAAAATACTGATACTAAGTAGACTATGAAATAAGTACATATTTTGTAATCCTAAAAGAAACGCTATTCAAAGAGACATAGTAAAAATCACAATAAATGCATTGAGATGGAAGACTGAAAAATGTTTAAATAATTTAAAAGAGATCATATAAGGTGAAAAAAAATACCATAGAGAGAACAGACAAAATGAGAAATAAATCAATAGATCTAAATCTAGTCACAAGAATAATTACCTTAAATGCAAATGTTCTAATGACATCAATTAGAAGACAGAAATTGTCAGAATGGATTACAAATAGAATGGCCTAAAAATATTCTTTGTACATGAAACCCACTTCAACTATAATGACATAGATACTGTAAGACTAAAAGGCTGAGTCTTGGAGAAGATGGTGCCATAGGAGCAACTCAGGATTGCAGCTCCCAGTGAAAGTGCAGAGGGTGAATGGACACCGCATTTCCAGATGAATCTTTATTGCCTACAGACCAGGAGATTCCCAGGTGTAGGAGCCGCACGGGCTGCCAGCACGGCTGTTTGGGCCGGCACGGCTGTTTTAACCAGCACAGCTGTTTCGGCTGGCGCCACAGTGCAGCGGCACTCCATACAAAATACACTGGTCTGGTTGCCCTGTTAAACTGGCAATTTGAGATTTGGGAAGGCAGATTAGCACATTCATCTGATTAAACGGGACTTAAACAGTAAGCCAGGACAGGATAGTCCCGGGAAGCGACGTTGTTTCAGCCGGCGCAGTGGGTCGCCACATGGGAAATCACACAGATCCTGGCGCCCTTTCAGCAGGTGACTGGAACACCGGGGAGAGAGTCAACCGTTCAACATTAAAAAAAAGAGGGCTCTGAGGCAGGGAGCCAGGTGATCAGGCTCGGCGGGTCCCACCCCCACAAAAACAAACAAAACAGCAATTGGAAACGCTCGGGGTTGAGAGTTTCATGGCAAGCACAGCTGAACCCAGGACAGTGCAGCTCAGTGGGGGAGGGGCGTCTGCCATTACCGAGGCACTCCACCCCTACAGAGGTACTCTGCCACTGCTGACACAGCCTGCTGTTGCCGAAGCAACCCGCCATAACAGAGAGAGTCCACCATTACAGAGGTGGGCCACCATCGCCATGGCAGTTCTAACCACATCCATATAAACAGGACTACAGGGAATTACACATGGCAGCAGGGCGGAGCCCACGGCTGCCGGGCAGAGCCCACGACAGCAGGGCAGAGCCCACAACAGCAGGGTGCAGCCCAGAGCAGCTCAGCATAGCCTCTGCTGGCAGGCAGTGACTAGACCGCCTCCTTGCTGGGCAGGACAGTGCAACGGATACTCATAAAAAAAGCCCTAACTCCCCAGGACAGAGCACCTGAGGAAAAAAAGGGGCTTTATGAGTTCTGCTGCAGCAGACTTAAATGTACCTGCCTAGCAGCCCTGAATGAACAATGGAGCTCACAGCTCAGCACTTGAGCTCCTATAAAGTACAGACTGTCTCCTCAAGCAGCTCCCTGACCTCCATATATCCAAAGAGTCACCTCACAAAGGACTGATCAGACTGACATTCGGCAGGCATCATTCTGGGACAAAGATAGCAGATGAAGAAACTGATAGCAACCCTTACTGTTCCGCAGCTGCTACAGGTGTTACCCAGGCAAGCAGGGCCTGGAGTGGACCTAAGCAGTCCTACAGCAGAGGGGCTAGACTGTTAGAAGGAAAACTAAGAAACAGAAATACTTCAGCATCAACAATCTGGACGTCCACTCAGAGACCCAATCGGAAAGTCAGCAACTACTCAGACGACAGGTGGATAAATCCACAAAGATGGGAAGAAACCAGCCCAAAAAGAGGAAAACACTGGAAACTAGAACACCTTGCCTCCTACAAGGGACCACAACCCCTCACCAGCAAGGGGACAAAGCTGGACGGAGAATGAGTGTGATGAAATGACAGAATCAGACTTCAGAAGGTGGATAATGAGAAACTTCCATG